CTCATTAAATATGAGGAAACAGCCTTCTAAGAGTGCTTCCGTTATTTCCCTGGGTTATCACAACCAGGGAGTGGTTGATCCAAATTTCAGACCTATGCCATCTAGCTCCACTGCTGGGACGTAAAGTATCTTTCAAACTCATATTCCTCCAGAAAGAGGACAACTTCTAGACCAACTGGCATGTTGCCAGCAGTTTGTTACAGTAATAAAGTAACTGAAATCTGCTGTTTACTTTTCCTTTAATTTAAATAAGTGTAGTTGTAATGAAAATGGCTCTTGCTCCCCAACATTCTGGTTTTCTCTCTAATGGAGAGAAATGAAGTTTCCAACTCTAACTTCTATACTCTATGATCTCCCCAGAAACAGAGTAGATAGCCATTGTCCCTCAATATCATCACAGGCACCCACTAAGTGTGTGTACAGACCAGACCATGAGACAAGGAGGGGGGCTAAAGAGGTTGGCTGGGAAGTGTGAGAAAGTCATCCACCTTGCAGCTGTCCCTGCCTGAACAGGACCATGGATAAACCAGAGTCCCTCTCCGGAGATCTCTGCTGGCACCTTGTCTACATTCTTTTCTGGAAAAAAAAAATCATATTCCTGTGAAGAATGCATTGTCTTCTATAGGCAACTGCCAAAACCCCAACTGTAGGCAAATCCATCTGACAAAATCCCTTAACTGCTTTGATTCAGTTCTTAAAGGAGATTAGTTGTTGGGAGGTCACGGAGAAGCCATCCATGGCACAGTGCAGTTGGGCTTTCAAAGCTTTCCCTACTAAGGGGATCTCCAGGCTCCAGGCCCCTTCCATCCATGCCATTTAATCAATGAATCAACAAATAGTTACTGAGCAAGGCTTCCCTGGGGTCTGCAGGTCACTTCAGATGTGCCTCTCCAGTTCAATAGCAGCAGAAAGGAAAACAGATTTTTTTGACTTCTCTTAAAGTTTCCATTTATAAAACCAGGGCTAATATAAAAAGACCACAGGTCTCCTGTCCATCTTTTTTCTCTTCCCTGAACCCCTCTGGTTCACAAAATATAAGAATATGCCGTGTGGCTGAGACAATATATAAGTTAGAAGAGGGCCTCCCCGGTGGCGCAGCGGGTTGAGCACAGAGCTGTGAAGCTGTCCACAGCTTCTGCAGCGTGGGTTCCATTCCCAGCCGGCCAGGGAGATTCCCACATGGTGCAGCAGACCTCTCCTTTCTCACCCCCTGCTCCCCTCAGCAGTGATTTTGGTCCATCTGCCTGTTCTTCTGCCCACTCTGTCTCTGGTGAATCCTCTCACCCTCCCGCACCTCTGGCCTGTACCCCAGCTCTTGTATGCATAAATAAATACATCTTTAAAAAAAAAGAAGAAAGAAGAGAGGGAGGGAGGGAGGAGAGTGAATAGGTAGGGAGGGAGAAAAAAGGAAATGAAAGAAGGAGGGGGTTAAGGAAAGTGGATGAGAATAAGAGCTTGAAAAAAGGAAAGCGGAAGGAATATACGAAGGAAAGCTCAGACATGTAGATTTCAGCAAGGTCAAAGGACACAGTATACATGTAAACAGTCCCTTCAGGAAATGCCTCTGGTGCCACATAACCTCCATGTTTACAGCTTGGTGATTATTACTACTCTTTAGTGCATGTGATTAGCTTGGAGAACAGCTAGTGACCACTACTTACAAGTTTCTAGGACTAATGTAAGTATGAACGTCTTGTACTTTTACGTGTCCTTCTGCTCTCAATTATAGTGATCGCTTCATTGATAAATCACATGTTGCCTCAATACCCACAACACCAGAAATCCTAAATACCATCACTATTAATCACTATTCTTAATTTGCAGGAAAATAAAAAATAAGTAGTAGTGAGATACTACTTTTGGCTACAAACTGAATCTCACCGGTGATGACCAGTCCCTGCGTGTACAACTGTCCCTAGAACATGACCAGCCTGTGATGTGAACTGTGCTTTCCTGACACAACACTGAGAGCAGGACTCCTCTTACCCATATGCTTCCTCAATCAGAAATTATAGTGAAACTAACGTGTGTTGAGCACTTACTATGTGCAATCCAAGGGTAATATACTGTCTATGAATTATTTCATATAACCCTTTCACCTGCCTTTTGGGGTGCATTTTTAGCCTCAATCTTCAGACAAAGTTATGGAAACTCAGAAAGGTAGAGTCCCTATGGCCCAAATTTAAACACAGTGAAGACTCAAACCAGTGACAGAATCTAAAAATTATGTTCCTGACCGCCCAGGGACTGTCACTTTGTTCCTGCTCTTAAATCTGAAGCATCAAAGGCAAGAAAAGAAAAACAATGTGTTTTTATGTATTATTTATTTATTTATTTATTTTTTGTGGGACCCTCGCTGGTGGCCAGGGTTGTAACTGGCGCTGCAGAGGCTGCGGGCAGCCTCGCAACCCAGCGCTCAACCGCTGCGCCACCAGGAGAGGCCCACAATGTGTTTTTATTTATAATGTACCCAAAACCTTGCTTGGTCTTTGTGTTCTTATATCTGCTTTCAAGCATTCCTCTTCTCCCCAACCTGAATACACTAGAGCTGCTTCTTTCATTATATTTTGATAAGTTAGTATGAGAACAGCAAGCCAACCAAGAGACCACAGCAGTCCATGATATGTTGAAGAATTCTTCAGTGTTCATGCAATAAGGTACGCCAGCACCTTAAAATTTTAATAACAGTAAGTAATCTGAAATAGAAGTACTGCATGAACACTGAATAAAGAGATTGCTAGATAAAATTCATGAGTAGTTATCAAGGTGCTGATGTTCCCATAGGGAGCTTCCATTGAGCTTCTATATTATAATCTCACTGCTGATTGGCTCCACATGAGGGGAGGTAGTACTAACAAAAACACCTGAAATTCTACTGTTCACTGACATCTCCATATGGGCAACTATGCACTCAGAAGTATTTGTATGTTAAACGGAGGTAAGAGATACATACATCACTACCCACCTTTCAGAGATAGGCAATTAATTATACCATCCACGTCTAAGCGGAGACTCAAGAGACCAGCTCAGGTCTGCTTGACCTTGAGACAAAACACACCTAGAGACCGCCCTGTGCTTACATCTCCTGTGGCTGTCTGAGATGGTGGGTGGCCCTGAGCCTCTTTTGTCCCTGCACACACTGGGTACCCACTAGGCCCGCCCTCCAAATCTGACTCCTAATTGCCCTCCTACTTCCCAGTGTTGAAGACCAGAGTTTGTTATTTCATTACCTTTTACTAAACCTAGCTGGTGTCTGTCCACCAAATAAACGCTGAAGCAAAGCACCTCACATGGGTACGATTGGCTAGTGTCTTCTGGTTGAGAGCAGACGTATGAATACCATCAGTTTCACACACAGAAACCATTTCAACCAGAGAAAGGTGAACTGTCTTGTCATGCAAGGCCCTGTGGCCCTCAGCAAAGATGTGTGAGGACATAGGCCTTGAGATGGGTCAAGGCAACCAATATTTGGATGTGTTCAAGACGTACTACAAAAGTTACTTCTAAAGCAAGTAACAATTTGCAGAAAAACCCAAGTGATGAAATTATCCAGAGATTTAGGGTGAGCGGAAACAACTGTACCACGTAAAAGCCAAGGAACAAAAAGACCCTTCCTCTTTCATCAAAGCTTGAGGACTTCCAGCCCACAGTTAGCCTGGTCTTCCATGCAGGAAAGCCCAGGAGACACACATTTCCTTTTGGTTTTGAAAATAAAGGTACTTACCAGAGACAATCCACACGTCACCACACTTTGCCCAGAATAACATCGGTCACCCTTGTCCATGCAAGCAGAGAGTGGGGCCTGCCAAATTCATGGGGGAACCCACTGGGGTTGTTTGGAAATAGGTGAGGAAGGGGTGGGGTAGAAAACAATGACTTTCCCTTTAAAACTGAACTGAAGCTGATATCACATCACATGACCTTTTACCGTAATTTCTATTAAAATCATTTCATGTCTGGTTGCCTCTGCTCTCCTGGCTCATTTGTATTGTTTACAACAAGTCATTGCACTGGCAGTTAGTGGTGGCTGAATCCATGGTTACCCGTTTTTACATTCACTAGTTAAAAGGAATGCAGCTCTGCTGTGGGTTTCAGGGAGCAAGCTCTTAAGAAACCACAATCCAGCTATCAATCAGACTAATCTGAGAGAAATTAATCTGATAAACATATGTATTGGTGCATATTAAAAATTGATAGGAAGGGGGCACGGGCTTTTTATAGGGAGTTATAGAAGTGGGCAAACTGAGGTTTGACTTAGAGACTAAAAGTCTTCAGTCTGTGGTCTCCATCTGAGAACACTTCATGTTGTGCATCTAAAAAGCTTTCAAGGGTAAGACACGCGACCACCCTTTAAAACAAATCCACCCCCCCCACCAACGTTTTGTAAGCATTTATTCTCCAAACATTTGTAGGTTCCAAAGAGCGGCTACATACAGGTTTAACCAGACTGCAATCCCAGAAAAGTAACTTAAACAGATACATACAAGGCGGTAAAACACCAGCTAGCACTAGGTAGGATTCAATTAAGACAAAACCTCAGTGGAATGCTCTTTAAGAGTCAATTAAAACTGCAAACTAATATGCTTTATTAAGAGCAAGAATGGTACGCATTCACTCCATTGTCCGTGAATTTAAGTGCTTCATTCTTTAAAAACATTCCCCCAAAGCAAACTTGTTTCTCAAGATGGACAATGACCAACAATTATAATTCCTAATACAAATTCAGAAGTTTTCTAGCTTAATGCCCACAATGAATGGTCCCAGGAGTCACATCTAAATGCTAAATGAGAACAGCAAATAGTTAAAGCTAACATATTACAACCCCATCTACTGCAAAGTCACTGTATCAGAAGCTAGAATTGATTTGTTTCCTCAGAACGAATTGAAAATGAATGTAACACAACGTCGGAAAAATCCCTCCTGCCCTGCTAATCGGATATCGTATATGGTTGATTGCAGCTTTGCCCTGGACGAGTGCTGCCTAAATCATACATACTTACACGTTCTGGGTTCTTCCAAGAGTTTGGTGCAGTTTCAAGGACAAACGTCTTAAGGAAGCCTCTACACTGTGCGGCAGGGAGCTAGCTTGCTCCAGTCTGATGATAAGAGCACAGTGCTAAGTCTTACAAGAGAGAAGGGAACTTCCTGCGTGCAGAGATCTTGGAAAGTCTCGGGGTGAGAAAGGCTGCTCTCAATGTGCTGCTTGATTTGCTCCCTGGTTGTGTGTACACAGTAGCAGCTGATCTGTGTTTGCAGCCCTGCAGAAAGGAACCTTTACTGAAAACCAATGGTATCACATTTCAGCGGAGCTGGTGCCAAGTGCTGGAGAGCAGAGCAACCTTTGACAACTTCACACAATCCAACCCGGCAGACTTACCACAGGTCAGGGAGGAGTGTGGAAAGCCTCTTCCCACCAGGTCTGTGTCCCAACTGGCGGGTGTTAACTCAGTGCCTGGGAAACCAAACACCCCTATGGCTGGACTCTGACAACAACACGAGCTTTTCCCTAGACTCAGCCTAATAGTCTCTATCTCTGCTGCCCTGGCCTGCCATGTACTGTATTTTCACCAAATTTTAAAAAGTGAATCCTGGTTTTTATTATGCATTTCCCTCTGTTGCTGCGGTGAACCTTCAACTTCACAGGGTGTTACTAATCCTGTGCTGAGTGGTTAAGATGCCACTCCTCCCTTCGTGTTCCTCACAAATCAATAAACACGGGAGAATTACTAATATAGGATGGGGGAGTAGGGTAATTCATTCGGGATTCTGCTTCTCCACTCAGAGGCTGGAGTTTTTAAATGACTGTTTTGTTGGGAGCCATTTTATTTTTGTTCATTTTAAGTGGGGGTGCACTCAACACCCCACTCAGGAAAACAGACCCACAATAATGAGGTTCTTTGGATGATGAGAGCAGGTGAGCAATAGGAACATGGGGTACGCTGCTCCATAGTGGAAACCCCTTCTTCACCACACTGAATATGGAAGGGAATGGAAATTCTAGACCTTGTCCAGGCTAAGAGAGGGGGTGCTGGTCGTTACACATTGTGACAAACGATCCGTTAACCGCTTCATTATCTGTGTGTCCCTCACTGGCCTCCCTCTCCCTTCTGCCCTGATGACAAGTCTAGGTTATGGTATATTATATGGTATTTTCTCACTATTGTTCGTTTTACTTCAAAGGGCAGGAATCAGAAGTGACAGTTTAACAAAAGGCCATGCGAAACGTGTCAGGCAGCACAGGGGAGGTTCGCCTCCTTATCTGAAAGCCTCCTAGGAGCTGCCTGAGCAACTGGTGAATTATCCAAGGCCTTTGCTTTTTTCATTTTGGTCACAAAATAATACTAATTGCCTACATTTGAGAGCCCATATAGTGTAATGTAAAGAGTCTGGGCTCGGGTGCTTGAGGGATTGAGCTTCCTGTCCTAATCCCCCTACCTTCTACTTCCATGACGCTGGGAGCTGCTTAAAATCTCTGAACTTCTGTGTCCTCATCTGTGAAATGGAGACGATATATGCTACCACAGGAGATGATTGTGAAGATAATGAATATAATTAGCATTAATTAATATTGTGAAGATAATAACATTAGGAAGATTTAAAGGATCACTTCTATCAAGGGTTTACCAGAAGAGAGCCTGGAATGCATGCATTATACATATACCAGACCTCATGGGGCCAGGACAGGGGTACAAGGTCACCTGAGCCAGGACCCCCACTCTCAAGTACAGTGCTGCAATGCTACCTCTCTCCTTCCTCCTGTAATTTTTAGGATCTCTATCCTAAATCACACACACTTTTAAACACTTAATCTTATCAGAGCATCCTAAAAATCCCAGGAGGTACATGGCGCTAAGGCCCAGTTTGCAAATGGGAAAAACAACACATGCAGAGATAAGGGTGACACAGCCAGGAAGCAAATGACAACCAAAACATCAACCCAAGGTCCGATTTCATCATGACTTTTTAAAGTGGGCATACAAATTCTCCATGTAGCATTCATTGTTAGTAGGGTTCTGGATTGTGCATGTGAGACTGTTAAGATCACAGTACTCTATAAATATACATATATACAATACCTCCCTAAAGAAAGTATAAGTCCCTCAATGAGAGAGATTGTATCTCAAAATTATTTTATATAATCTAGCAGAGCTAATGTCGTGATAAACATATTACCTGTATAATGAATTTTCCCAAATTTTAAAGCAACTCAAGCTGGGTAAATTTTATGACCTATACTCAACCTCATAGGAAGCAAGAACTCCTCAAGAAGTAACAGTTTGGAGGTTATCTGTTGTCTTGTTATAAATATACATATACACATATATAGTGTCATGTTACCTATATCCTCAATTACTTCAAAATAATTAAATACATGTCAAAGTTTTTTTAACATTAATTCATAACCACCCCAAATTTCCTTCATTTGTTTAGCATAGATGCTGTATTTGAGGCCCTCATAAATTTTAGTAAGAGTGATTAAGTGTTGACTTTTGAATTCACACTTGATTCCAAGACATTTGGATATCTAAGTTCAGTTGAGTTTTAGTTTCACAGATCAGAGACTGTAGAACGCCACTGATCATTATCAGAGTGGAGCAAATGGGCCAGTCTTTGCTAGAATCCAACAGATTTTTTGATACTTAAAAATATAATTGTCTAGGGCCTCCCCTGGTGGCGCAGCGGTTGAGCGCTGGGCTGCGAGGCTGCCCACAGCCTCTGCAGCGCCGGTTCGTTCCCTGGCCACCGGACGAGGGACCAAAAAAAAAAAAATTAAAAAAAAAAATAATTGTCTATACAAACAACCCACATTTCTTAAATAATTGTTGACCCATGACTTCACTTTATACTTTGAAACACAGTCCATTTCTGATAGAAAAATTGGTCATTTATTAGCGAATCACACAAAACAAAATTAAATATTCTTGAAAGATATCTGCATAGTATCTAGAACTTGGAGATGCATTGCATTAATTCATTCTCTTAGACACTGGAACTCTTTTTTAAATGGAATTTACATCATAATTTTATAACTATTTACTGCCAAACAGTGATTTTTTTCAGCCTTAACAAAGATCCAGGGAAATTTAGATCAATATCAATGTTATGGCAAAAGTGCTGAATGACAGGCAAGGTTTGAGACAAAGAAGACAATTATTGAATACATTGTTTTTGTTTCCAAAGTCATGCACTTGTTTATTTAGACAGGCTGTGGCCATCTGTAGGGGAGAGTAAATATGCTCCTCACGTACTGGCAGCGCATAAGTTAGAACGATCAGGCTGGCTGGCATCTTCCACGTTCCACTGGCCAGCTGCATACTATTTCCTGCTTCCTCCTATATAAAGTAATATGTAAAGTACCTGCCACACTTCTTGGACCACAGTGGACAAGAAACATGACTCCCAAAAACACTTACTCTACCAAAGAGCTACACAAATTGACCTGGGACATGTGAAACCTGGCTAGCCCAGAGAACGGGTTAACAATATTCCCCACAACTAACACTGACTAGTCTCATTCAATCTCACAACCAAGTTGGAAGCAGATGCTTTATGATTCACCTTTTTACAAATAAGAAAAAATGAGAGAATGTAATCTTTTCTTGAACAACTACAAGCTTAATAAGTGGCCCAGTAAAAATTCAAAGTGGACACTCTAATTCCAAAATTCTTCCACATAACATACTGAACTTTCCTTTCAGGAACAACGTACACACATTAGTTTCCCTCTTTTTTCCTTTTGGTTTCATATTCTACAGCTCCATTATACAAAGATCACACACATGTACACAGGCAACCATGCCTCCCCGTTTTACCTTCAACTACCTTTCATCTTTTCTTCTCTCACATCTTGATCAATTATTTCAGAGAATAATTTTCTCTCCATTTTTCCTCATTCTCCAGCTTATCAGTGAATTTGGCTGCCAAAAGTCTTATCACAGATGATAAACTCGGTAGTGTTGCTAATGTTTCATTATTACAAGGAGAAAAAAATCCAGAGACTTTGCAACCAGTCTTTAAAATTCCTGAAAGACCCGAAAAATTCCTTTTAGTTACCCTGCGATTGTTTCTGTCTTTTCAACTTCCAGGGATACATGTGCATTCTCTTAAACATCAGCCCTCCAGAGTCTAGATAAATGACAAACTATCCCTCAGTTTTATTGCTTTTATGTTAAGTTTATCACTTGTATCATAATAGAACTGCTTTTCACATTTTTTTCACCACTGATATAGAATATTTCACTCCAGTAAGTAGCATAGACTTTTATGGCCTAGCCTAGGAAAGTAATTAGCATTTAAGATTGTTTTGTGTGAAAAAAATATTTTGAATATCAAATAATTTCTGTATAAGTAAAAAGAAAATTAATACAAACTTAAGTGACTAAATTTCATGAGGCTTTCATTTCAAACCACTGAACACAACTCATTGGCTACATACTAACAGTTCTAGTCATAACATAAGGCCATACTTAGGTAAATGCTTAGTTTATAGACTAGACATAAACAGAAGTATAGTTAACTCTTTATTAATTCCTTATTCATCAACCACTTAATTTAGAAGCACAGGGTGAAAGTAAGTTGGAGACCATTTAGTCAAATTCTTTCATTTTAGGAATGAAGAAACAAAGCTTTGCTGTTCTCTGATGAAACAGGTAGCCATAAACTTAGTTTAGGACTACTTTGATCCTTAGCTGAAGATTAATGTCAGTAGTACATACATTATTTAAAAAAGATCAAATTTCTAACTCTGAAGATGACTGACAGAAAACATCACCAAATATTATGTCCCATTTCTGCAGCCTTTGGAAAATAAATGTTTGTAGTAAATAGAAAATGAATTTCTAATAACTGAATTAAACTGTTCATCTAAATAGCCAACTTCAGTTTTCTCTCTATACATAATAACTTGTGTTTACTATAGCTCTACTGCCACAGTTTCTAAGAAGAGTTATAACTTACTAACAATTCCCCTGATTTATATTTGAAAACATACAGGGCATGAAGTGATTTCTGCAACCTTACATTTTCTGCAAGAACACTGGGAGACAGAAGATATAGTCTAAAAATCACGTTGAATTGCTTGTTACAGCTCCCTTTTTAATAGAAATGTATGATAAGCAATTATACATGCTCCACAAAAAAAAAAAAAAAAAAAAAGGTCATTAGATCTTTTTCCCCATTAAGAGAGGAAGAAGAAAAACAGAAGGAAGAGGAGAGAGGTGATGAGGCAGGGGAGGAAACTATG